TAATATCCTAACATTCGAAAACGATTAAGTATTATCTTTATACATTTGTTTTTATTAACAAATAATTAACATTTAAAATATCTTATTCATTCATGGATTCACTATGGATTAAGAACGTATTAAATGCTAGGTTAATTACCAATTATTATGGTCGGTCAAAATTCACTCTTGATAAACCTTTGTGAGTCAGCGGTCAAGAGCGGTCAGAAAAGGGATTTAAATAATGATTTGGAAATATTCTTTTTCAATGTAAATATGCTTTTTAAAAATTTTTGAAACGTGTATTCGTATTCTACTAATTTTTCCTTATCTTCCCAAAAAATTAATGATATTGAATCACCCTGTATATGTTTTTATTTTGTAATACTGATTGACATTAAAATGTCACAAAATTGCAATTTGAATTGTGTCTTGTCTCCCGTTCATTATCCTTATCAAAATTCTGAATTATTCACCATTCGGCATAGTCCTTCCCTGGCGTTCGAGGGCTATGGAAATTAATTTATAAAGCGTCGTATGTGTTATCAGCATCTAAATTTGCAAAAAGAAGTTTCAAATTATCTATTTCTGAAGGCCTGTAACTCATAATCGGTAACGGAGGCTCGTATAACAAAAATTATATATATGTGCTGAAATTGTTTTAAATCTACCTACTCACTTCCGAGTTTTTTACCACAGGACCCTGTGACACCCTGTGTATATGATTTTATCATTATAAAATAAGCTATAACTTATGTAAAGTACGACTCTATCATACGTGTTTTAATACTAACCCTAGTAAAGTCTTTCCGATCTCAATTGAAGAACCAAGAGGTTGGCAGTACCAGGTTCGGTCGCTGACGCAGTAACTCGGCATTGAAATATTTGAAAAAATTGTTCCCATTTTTATTCAGCAATACTCATATACAGGTCTAGTCGCCCAGTTGAAGAATGAGCGCGAGGACAAACGCGGCACAAACACAGCCACACTAGGCCACCTTGCCATAAATTCGGTTAACCAATGGCTTAGCAGTGCATTGCAGCAATGTGGAACTTGGTGTGAATCAGGTAATTTTAATTTATTATAGGCACCTTCTATTAATCATTCATATTATAATTGCGAAAGCGACAAATAACCGGGGTATTTTGTTTACTAATATTATCACAAAATGGCAATTTGGAGACCTGTTGAAACGGAACAAAAAGAAATTTGCCATCAATATAACAAAATTGTTTGAGGACATAAACAATTAAAATATATTGTTAGTCAATTGAACATATAATAGTTCAATGTTCAACTGACTTATACCAACTTACATGTAGAAATAATTTCATCAATTTGTTGGTGAGAATTTTCCACTTTTTGTATATTAGAAAAATTATAAAACTACTAAATGTACTTGAATATAAATCTGAAGGTAAGAAAGTAATAACTAATAATAATATTTTAAAAGTAGTAGTAGTATATTTCGACAATTCTACTTCTAACAATAATTACTGCGTACTTTTTCAGACTACACTAATTGTTTACAAGACGTATGCCTTTAACTAAGACGTGTTTATAAAAACACGTGTTCTGAAGATTAACATAAATTACTCACAATTAACAGCATCGACGAATTAGACAGAAGCAGAATGCTAAGTAGTTTTTAAAAATTAAAAAAAAAAATAGTTCAGGACTACTTATTTTTCTGTGAATAGATACAAATCACGTATTGTATTGTACAATGAGGAAATAACACAATGCCTCAAATTGTTCCCGTACACGAAATGCGGCTATAAAAACTTCATTACGGTCCAAAAGGGACTATTGTGCATAATATTGTAGTTTGGAATGTAATTTATTGCGGCTAAGACCGCGAAGTATAACGGGGAAATGAACCGAAGTGCATACAGAATTATTACGTAAATGGAAATTTTCTTCCATCGAGACTACACAATAATACGCATTGTATGAAATATTCCCCGTCTGGTAGATGATTCAGAATTATTTAATTCCACGAACCAAAACCGCAAACTACCAAATGAGTACATTATAATCAGATACACAGGGACTATTTTTAATTTGTAAGCACCAATTTTTGTATGGCATTTTTTTCATGTAGAAAGACGATATTTTTACCAACAGCTGCAAAGGAAATTTGGTAACAGCATAGTTATTATAAAACCGGTAAATTTACACCGTTTGCAAACAAAATGACTGCCGAATAGCGAGTACATAAAAAAAATTGTACATATTTAAATATTCCCGAATATTTACATGTAGGATAATTCTACTTACGTTAAAACGAGGATACATTCCTCTGAAGTTATGACTTTCGAATGCTTAGACTCCGAACCCGGTAAACAGTAAACACTTTAATAAAAATGTGTTTGCCCCCGAGTTGCTCACATCTTTGCAAAATTGTTTATACGCGCAAATAAGATAAATATTAATAATCAGACTATAATACATATAATAAAATAAGCGTACGCTTATTATTACCTGCTAGACTTAAAACCTCTTAAGGCGCATCCTTTTGTTAAAAAAGAATGACTGAAAAACCTATTTTTAGAAAAATCTTCCGTCAATAATGTAACGATTTTAATGTGAAGTTTAATGCGAAGTGAACAAGTAAACATATTAATTAGTGTAGCTTACTTGGAATTTCCTTCTCTATTCAAAGATTAAAAGCGAAACGCAAATTTTATTTCTTTCAATTCAATAGGCAAAATGACGTCGCAGAAATGAACAAGCAATAATCTGTTTTACGTTACGAACATATAAAATTTAAACTTTTTAATTATCAAATTATGGATTTATTACAAGCATTTTAAAAAATTTAATTTCATATTTCAATCAGTGTGGCTTGATAAATAAAAATTACGGTTACTATAACAACAATTATTATTTGTGTCGGTTTATTCATTTTAAACTTAGCTTTAAGATGCTAAATAAAAAATGCATTTATTTACAACTAAAGGGTATGCAGAGAATACCCACGTAGATATCCAAAAAGACTTCAACCTGCCCACGCAATCTTTAGTGCAGCATCATTTCGTAGACTTCGAGAAGAAGGTAACCCCGTTCCAAAAAAGGCCATTCGTTCTACTGAACTAAATGTACAGGGTTAGTCACTATAATCTGACAACATATTGTGAGTTTATTATTGAAATTACAAAAAAGTTTTTAATACAAAAGTTTGTACTAATTTTTATGAATTTTTATAATACAGTATTAAAAAAAAAACAATTGAATAATGGAAATCACTAAATTAAAGAAAAATTTTGTTTTAAAATGGAACATCCTATATATATTAGTGCATACTTAGCTTCGTTAAATTTTTCTCTTTTCAAAAATATATAATATGTTACTGTTTGATTCGGGACTTTTCGACATATTTCAGTTTAAAACTATTTTTGAAAATACAGGAGGAAAATTTATGTCTGACGGATCACAGTGGCTATGAACGAGGCACGAGGAACAAAAAATTTAACGAAGCTAAGTATGCACTAATATATATTTAAAAAACAATTTTTTCTTTAATATAGTGATTTCCGTTATTCAATTGTTTTTTCTAATACTGTATTATAAAAACTTTTGTATTAAAAACTTTTTTGTAATTTCAATAATTAACTCACAATAAGTTGTCAGAGATTATAGTGACTAACCCTGTACAGGTGGCTAACTCCCCATTATCTACTACAGTGTACTCTATAATAGAAATATACAGGGTGTAACTAAATAAGTGTAAAACATTTAAGGGGGTGATTCCTCATCGAAAAAAAGATAGGATCTTTCATATAAAGAAACTTCATTGGAGCATCCCTTGTTAAGATACAGCCCCTTAAAGGGGGTACATAAAATTTGTTTAACAATTTTTTTCACAAGCACTAAACAAGTTACAATATTGAAATTAACCTGACATTTTCTACTACCAAAAAGACACTTAGCCAGTAATTTATTTGGTTTACCCCATGGTTGTAAGGGGTGGAAAACGCAACCCCTAAAATTTATTTCCAACGTAATTTTTTGTCTTATTATTTTTTTACCATTTAAAAAATTATTTCCGATAGCCTGTTTCATTCTAAAAAAAAATGTCTCTTGAATTTTTTGCCCAAATTAAACCAGTTCGCAG